GGAGCTTCTGTTGGTGCTGAGGACCCTGCCGCTGGAGCTTCTGCTGGTTCGAGAGTTCTTGCACGGCCACGGCCGTACTTTGTTCCGCTCCTTCAGCAGGTTCTTAGTCAGTGTCCTCCTCTCGCCTTAGAGCGTCCTCCGTCTGTCCAGTCACAGCCACAGTTACCGACTGCCTCCCCACTCCCTGTGCCTACTCCGTACACTGGTCCGACTGGAGGTCTAGCTGAGAGACGTGAGCCTGCTTCACGTCCTGTGTCCCCTGCGTCTCGTCGAGCGTCGCCTGTTCGTGTTGCTACCACTGCTAGTCGTGTCTAGCGTCAGCGTCCTCCTGCTGTCCCAAGCACTCACCAGATGGCGCTTCGTCAGTCCACTGCTCCGCAGCGTGTCGCTCTCCCGTCGCCTCCTGCGTCCTCTCTTCCTGCGCTTGCTGACCCGGAGTCAGACACCCTTCGCGCTGCCAGTCCTACTGTCACACGTCTCCTCGCTACGGTTGTCACTGACCCTTCCTTTGAGTCCGCTGCTGCGTCTGCCTTAGTCACTGAGCTTGTCGACTTTGCAGCTGCTTGTCGTCTAGACTACGCTGCGAGTCTTGTTGCTGAGTCTGAGTCTGTCTGTCCTCCGTCCGTCGGGGGTGAGTGTGCTCTTGGCACGGACGTTCTTGAGGACAGGCAGGAGGAGGTTGGTTGCCTTGCCGCTGCTTTGCCCCATCTCGTGTCCATGCTCGTTGCCCCTGAGGGAGACCCGGATGCACCAGACATCCCGACCCCACGCTCTTACGCAGAGGCGATGGCCGGTCCCTACTCCTCTCAGTGGCAGTCAGCCATGGACACAGAGATGGCTTCCTGGAAGTCCACTGGCACCTACGTTGACGAGGTTCCCCCACCTGGGGCGAACATCGTCAGTGGCATGTGGATTTTCAGGGTGAAGCGGCCGCCGGGCTCTCCGCCTGTCTTCAAGGCGCGTTACGTTGCACGAAGCTTCAGTCAGCGAGAGGGAGTTGACTTCTTCTAGACCTTCTCCTCGACCCCAAAGATGACCACTCTTCGGGTTCTGCTACACGTCGCCGCTCAGCGTGACTACGAGCTCCACTCTCTAGACTTCAGCACAGCTTTCTTGCAGGGCAGCCTGCACAAGGAGATCTGGCTGCGCCGCCCACCTGGCTTCACTGGGTCGTTCCCTCCTGGTACCCAGTTGAGCCTCCGGCGGCCAGGCTACGGTCTCCGCCAAGCGCCACGTGAGTGGCACGACACACTGAGGACTACACTTGCGGCTCTTGGGTTCGCTCCTTCTACTGCTGACCCGTCGCTGTTTCTACGCACCGACCCCTCGCTGCCACCGTTCTACATCCTTGTGTACGTCAACGACTTGGTCTTTGCCACTTCTGACACAGTTGGTCTCGCTCACGTGAAGTCCAAGCTGCAGAAGAGACACACGTGCACAGACCTGGGTGAACTGACAAGCTATCTTGGCTTGCGGATCACCCGGGACAGAGCACGGCGCACCATCACCTTGACTCAGTCACACATGGTGCAGCAGGTCCTTCAGTGCTTCAACTTTACGTACTCCTCGCCTCAGTCCACCTCTGCCTACGGGACACTCGCTCTCAGCTCCGCCTTCGGATGAGTCCGTAGAGCCGAGTGGTCCGTATCCAGAGCTTGTGGGCTGCCTCATGTACCTGATGACCTGCACTCGACCTGACCTTGCATACCCTCTCAGCATCTTAGCACGCTATGTCGCTCCCGGCCGTCACCGGAAGGAGCACATGGATGCAGCTAAGAGGGTGTTGCGCTACTTGTGCAGTACGTCGGGCATGGGGCTAGTGCTTGGAGGGCGAGACCGGCCTGTTCTCACTGGGCACTCAGACGCTTCCTGGGCAGACGACCAGGCTACTCAGCGGTCGTCCCAGGGTTACACCTTCAGTCTTGGCTCTGGCTCTGTCTCTTGGCGTTCTACTCGCTCTTCATCTGTTCTTAGCTCCAGCTGTGAGGCTGAGATCTACGCCACGGCCATGGCTGCCCAGGAGCTTCGCTGGCTCACCTACCTGCTGACTGACCTTGGAGAGCAGCCTCGTTCTCCTCCAGTGCTGTACGTCGACAACAAGGCCACCATTGCCTTGTGTGGGGAGCACAGACTGGAGCACAGGACGAATCACATTGCTCTGCGCTACTTTCTTGCTCGAGAGCTGCAGCAGCGAGGTCAGCTTTGTCTGCGTTACGTGGCCACTCGGGCCAACACTGCTGACGTGTTCACCAAGGCGCTTCAGCCTTGTGACCATCAGCGCTTCTGTACTGTTCTAGGCCTCGTACCTACTGTCCCTCATTTGCTCACTTCTTGACTTTGCTTGTCCAGTGATCTCTATATATATATACCTGCATGCTTACTCTTGCTAGGTTGTGATTACTGTATCTCTTGTTCTTTTATAAATCTGCATGTGAACTGGTCTTGTGACCGCTTGCTTGTGCTCGGAACTTGTGTGGTATCCTTGAGATCCACCCTGAGCTTTGTTTTGCTTTGACTGGTCTTGTGACCCCTTGTTCTCCCCCACTTTGCCTATGGGGGTGTGTCAAACATTGTATGTTGTGCTTGTTTAGGCTACAGTGGGTTAGCCTATAGTGGGTACACATTTCTAGGGTTAGGTTTGACCTATTTGTACCCAACACTCATTCTAGTCATTCATTCTCGTTTCGGATTCTGACAACATCAGCACTGTTGGCCTCAGAGGTCACGTATGCAAGTCGCAACTGACCACGCTGCTGCAGCTCGCGAGCAAGAAAGTAACGGAGAGCAATGTGCTTCGTTCTGTGCTCCAGGCGCTGCTCTCGACACAAGGCCAGCATGGCCTTGTTGTCTACGCACAGCACTGGAGGAGAACGAGGCGGCTCTCCAAGGTCGGTCAGCAGGTAGGTGAGCCAGCGAAGCTCCTGTGCAGCCATGGCCCTGGCGTAGATCTCAGCCTCACAACTGGAGCCGAAAACAGAAGACGAGCGAGTAGCCCGCCACGAAACAGAGCCGGAACCAAGGCTGAAGGAGTAACCCTGTGACGACCGCTGCGTAGCCTGGTCGTCAGCCCAAGAAGCGTCCGCGTGCCCAGTGAGGACCACTAGACTCCGCCCTCCAAGCAGTAGCCCCATGCCCGACGTACTGCACAAGTAGCGCAACACCCTCTTCGTTGCAGCCATGTGCTCTGGTCTATGTCTCCCAAGAGCAACATAGCGTGCAAGAATGCTAAGAGGGTATGCAAGGTCAGGTCGTGTGCAGGTCATCAGGTACATGAGGCAGCCAACAAGCTCTGGGTACAGGCCACTCGACTCTACGGACTCATCCGAAGGCAGAGCGGAGAGCGAGTGGCGAGTAGACAGAGGAGTGGCCTGAGGCGAGGATTTCGTGAAGCCAAAGCGCTGGAGGACCTGCTGCACTATGTGTGACTGAGTCAAAGTAATGGTGCGGCGTCCTCTATCCCGGGTGATCTGCAAGCCAAGGTAGCTGCGCAGTTCACCCAGGTTTGTGCACGTGTGTCTCTTCTGTAGCTCGAACTTCACACGGGCGAGTCCAGCAGTGTCAGCAGTGGCAAAGACCATGTCGTCGACATACACGAGGATGTAGAACGGCGGCAAAGAAGTGTCGGTGTGACGAAACAGCGACGGGGCTGTAGTAGAGGTAGCAAATTCAAGAGCCGAAAGCGTAGTCCTCAGTGTGTCGTGGTGGAGACCGTAGACTTGCCGTCGGAGGCTCCACTGGGTGCCAGGAGGGAAAGTCCCAGTGAAGCCAGGTGGACGGCCCAGCCAGATCTCCTCGTGCAGGCTACCTTGCAAGAAAGCAGTGCTGAAGTCAAGAGAGTGAAGCTCGTACTCGCGCTGAGCGGCTATGTGCAGCAGCACCCGAAGAGTGGTCATCTTCGGGGTGGGAGAGAAGGTCTGAAAGTAGTCAACTCCCTGCCGCTAACTGAAGCCACGAGCGACGTACCGCGCCTTGAAGACAGGTGGAGAGCCCAGCGGCCGCTTCACCCTGAAGATCCACATGCCACTGACGATGTTCGCCCCAGGAGGGGGAACCCCGTCAACGTAGGTGCGTGTGGACTTCCAGGAAGCCATCTCTGCATCCATAGCTGCCTGCCACTAAGAGGAGTAGGGACCCTCTACGGCCTCAGCGTAAGAGCGCGGAGTCGGGATGTCTAGTGCATCTGGGTCTCCCTCAGGGGCAAGCAGTACGGACGCGAGATGAGGTGAAGCAGCAGGCAGACACTGGAACTCCTCCTGCCTGTCCTCAAGGACGTCCGTGCCAAGAGCACACTCACCCCTGACGGACGGAGGACAGACAGACGCAGACTCAGCAACAAGACTTACAGCGTAGTCTAGACAACAGCGAGCAGCAAAGTCGACGAGCTCAGCAACAAAAGCAGACGCAGCAGTGGACTCAAAAGAGGGGTCAGTGACGACAGTAACAAGGAGACGCGTGACAGTAGGATTGGCAGCACGAAGAGAGTCCGACTCTGGGTCGGCAAGCGCAGGAAGAGAGGATGCATGAGGAGAAGGCAAAGGGACAGGCAAAGGAGCAGTGGACGGACGCAGAGACATCCGGTGCGTGCCAGGGATAGGTTGAGGACGCTGACGCAAACCGCGACCACTAGTGCGAGCAGCACGAACAGGCGACGCGGGATGAGACGCAGGCTCACGACGCTCAGCAAGACCTCCCGTAGGACCAGTGTAAGGAGAGGGAGTAGGCAGTGGGGAGGCGGGCTCTAAGAGCGACTGTGATTGGACAGGCGGTGGACACTCTACAGGAGGAGAAAGGCCAAGAACCTGCTGCAGGAGCGGTACGAAGTACGGCCGGCGCCGCGCGGCAACTCTAGACACGGCAGGAACAGCACCAGCACCCTCAGCGGCAGCACCAGCGCCAACAGCACCTCCAGCTCCAGGACCTCCAGCACCACCAGCAGCACCCGCAGAAGGACCACCGCAAGGACGGACAGCAGTAGTCTCAGCACCAACACCCTCAGCAGCTCAAGCTCCAGTCGGACCCGCAGGCCCAGCAGCTGCGGGACCGGCAGCACCAGCACCCTCAGCGGCCGAAGACGCTCCAGCGCCAGCAGTACGCCTCCAGCGGCGAGCAAACCACTCGCGCAGCTCCTGTGGAGAGAGGGGCTCCCGCCGAGACGAAGCACCCGGAGAACCTCCAGACGCCACAAGGGGAGGTCCAGCGGCCGCAGGCTCCGCACCTCTAGACGTAGCACCCCCTTGCTCAGTAGCTCCTGAAGTAGCACCCCCAGGCTCAGCACCCCCAAGCTCAGCACCCCCAGTCGCAGTACCGACGCGCGCAGCACCCTTAGAGTCAGCACCCCCAGGCTTAGCACCCGCGCGCGCAGCACTCCCAGAGTCAGCACCCCCAGAGTCAGCACCCCCAGAGTCAGCACCCCCAGAGTCAGCACCCCTAGTCGTAGCACCCCCAGACTCAGCACCCCCAGGCTCAGCACCCTCGCGCGCAGCACCCCCAAAGTCAGCACCCCCAGGCGCAGCACCCGCGGCAGTACCAGAGTCACCTGCAACCTCGACCGGCTCGACTGCGTCTACCTGGGACACACCTGAAGGGGCAGGACCCTGAGGGGGAAGGGGGTTTACCGGGGGGGGGGGACCTGGTAAAAGGAAGTGCGGTGGCGGGGGGAGGGAAGGAGTGCGGTAGGGGAAGAGGCGGTAGAAGGGGACTGACTCGTCGAACATGACGTCCTAGGAGGACAAAACACGACGAGAAGAGGGGTGGTAGAACTGCCACCGTGGTGCGTCAGGGGGGAAGCCAAGGAAGACACAGGGAGCAGCACGAAGGGACAGCTTGTCCGTAGACAAGTCGCGGACAAACGCCTGAGATCCCCAGACACGGAACGCAGACGCATCGCTGACCTTCCCCGTCCACAGTAGAGCTGGGGAGGTCTCCGGCCGGGAGACCCTAGGGTGAAGGTTGATCTGATGCGCCGCGTACCGAACTGCAAACGGCCACAGAAAATGGGGGGCAGCCGCATGCATCATGGACGTACGAGCGACGTCCATGACCATGCCAATGCGGCGCTCAGCAATCCCATTTTGCTGTGGAGAGTCCAGAAGCATAAAGGTCTGGCGGATGCCTCGCGCACGACAGTAGGCTCGCAGAAGGCCAGAGGAAAACTCTCCGCCTCGGTCAGAGTGTAGACGCAGAACAGGAAAGTCGGAGCCGAAGCTCCTCCTGAGCTGGAGACGAGCTGCGCAGATCCAGTCGATCAACACCTTAGTGACATCACCCTTGCTGCGCAAGGGGAAGACCGTGGTGTAACGCGAGTAGTCGTCAACCACCAGCAGGAAGTAGCGCTCGTGACCCTGTCCACGGACGCGGGCGGGGCCCCACACGTCCATGTGAAGCGTCTGCAGAGGAGCCTCTGTCGGGGGAAACTGGGAGGAATGAGGGGCAGCCCGGAGCCGCCCCTCGACACAAGGGACACAAGAAGGACCAGGCCCCGAAGGAAGGGGAGGGAGGGACTAGGGAAGACCAGAGACAAGGACACGGAAAGCCATGCCCCGAAGACGAGGCAGGGAGGGGTGGCCAAGACGGTGGTGCCACAGGAGAGTCTCGTGAGACAGGTTGCGACACGAGCGGGGGGCAGACTCAGGACCAGACCTGGACGCTGCAGCAAACACCTGACCCGACGCAGCTACCTGACTCGACGCAGCTACCTGACCAGACGCAGGGACAGGAGGAGACTCAGTGGTCACGGTGTAGAGGCTCGACCCCGGTCGACGCGAAACGTGGCCAGGTGACGGCCTTTGCGGGCATCTGAGCATTGGGTCACTCGCTGACTCGCAGGAGTAAACTCGTGAACCCCCGCATCCTGCAGGTCAGCACCACTCACCAAGTTCGTTGAGAACGAGGGGAGGTAAAGACCAGACAAGGTGCCCGAGGGGGCAGCCGGACACGGGAGGACAGTGGAGAAGTGAGAGAGGACAGGACCCCCAGAGAGGTCAGCAAGGGAGACGGCAACCGGCCGACCAAGCGGCGTGAGTGTGGTGCGGTCTCGAAAGAAGGAGCGAGAAGCCCCCGAGTCAAGTGTGAAGGTGAGGGAGGCCGAAGCCAACGCGGTACCTGAGAGGCCAGCCTCACCAGTACCTGAGGGCGCAGACGCGCTAACACCTAGAGGAGTAGCCTCACGAGCACCTAGCGTAGCAGTACCAATGCCCGAGTCGGGCGGGAAACACCGGTAACAGTCACCCTCATCACTAATAGTCACAGCATACATGGCAGCAAGGATAGCATCAAAATCAGGATCATAGATAGCTACACCTGCCTTAAACAGCTCTTCCCAGCGGGGGATCTCACTAGCCTCGGGGAACTGCTGACGCCAAGCGTCCGTCAGGCGGCCAAAGCAGCGCTGGGTGGGGTGGGCACCCCCACACTGCTCACCCGCGCGGTCGCCGGAGCGAAGGACGTAGGTGCACGGACCAAAACCCCCACCACGCTGACGCTGCGTGTACCACTCACGGAGCTGCTGAAGAGGGGGGATGTCCCGAGAACGCTGCTGCTGCTGGCGCTGACCACCACCAGAGCCGCTCCGCTGCGAGGCACCACCCCGACCAGCTCCACCTCCTCCGCCACCGCCGCCTCCACCTCCGCCACCACCGCCGCCTCCGCTCCCACCGCTACCGCCTCCGCCGCCTCCGCCTCCACTGCTGCCACCGACACCTCCACCCCCGCCACCACTCCCACCGCCACTCACACTCCCTCCGCCGCCTCCACCGCCACCTCCACCATCCCCGCCAACTCCATCCGCGCCCTTGCCCCCCTTGCCCTTGCCAGAGCGGCGTCTCCCGCTAGGGGCAGACGCCGCACCGACCGACTCAAGACCAAGTAGGTTGGCCGCAGCAGCAGAGGCGACAGAGGGCAACAGGGGGGAAGGGGAACACCCCTCAAAGATGGGGGTGCGAGGGTCACCACGAGAGGCTCCTACAGAAACTATGCTCTTCTCCATTGCTAAGAGGGCCTTCTCTAGGAGGTCAACAGTGAGAGTGGTGGGACAGACTGGGAGGAAGTGGTCCCTGACTACGCGAAGGGAGTCAGGGAGGTGGGTGACTATGTAATAGAGGGTGATGTACATGGGGTGGGGGTTCTTGGCGCAGAACTCAGCAGAAAGCGCGGCGCGGTAGCGAGTGTCACTAGTGCGGAGGTGCGTAATGAGGTCAGCGACTGTGGGAAAGGTAGCAAGGTCAGGGAAGAGGTACGGTAGCATGAGGCGGCTCAGTGCGGCAGTGGCAGGGGAAGAGTAGCGCACAACTACAGCTTCGTACAAGGTATGAGCACTCTTGTACTGACTAAAGTGCGCACGCTCAGTGGTAGGCAGGTGGCGACGCACAGCAAGACGTGCAGCAGCATCGCGGGTGGCCCACTGAGAGTGAACAGTGGGGTCAGCATCAGCAGCAGGGGCAGGAGAGGGGCGAGAGGTGAGGTGAAAGAGAGAAAGACCGTCCGCCCTATCGCACTGTAAGAACAGCTGCAGGTCGTCGACCCAGACCTCAAAGTCAATGGCTCGACCCTCAGCGTCAAAAGCGAGGACACTAGGGGTAGCCATGACAACATTAGACTAGGAGTGCAAGTAGTAGGGGAAGGGCATGCAGTGACAGAGGGGCTGTGCTCACCGGACGGGGCTGCTCGGGCGGCTCGGCTGTAGGGCGGCTCGGCGGCTCGGCTGCTAGGGCGGCTCGGCGGCTCGGCTGCTGTGCGGCTCGGCGGCTCGGTGGCTCGGCTGCTGTGCGGCTCGGCTGCACAGCGGCTTTGCTGGTGGGCGGCCGGGTGGCTCGGCTGCAGAGCGGCTCGGCGGCAGGGCGGCTCGGCTCCTCTGCTGCTGGCGGCTCGGTTGTGCTGCTGCAGGGCGGCGCGACGGTTGGCGGCTCGGGCGTGCTGCTGCAGGGCGGCGCGGCGAGGCCGCAGCAGACGGGCGGCGGGGCCGCTGGAGTAGGGCGGCGGGGCCGCGAAGTAGGGCAGCGGGGCCGCAGGAGCAGGGCGGCGGGGTCGCTGAGTAGGGCGGCGGGGCCGCAAAGTAGGGCGTCGGGGCCGCAGGAGTAGGACGGTGGGGCCGCGAAGTAGGGCGGCGGGGCCATAGGAGTAGGGCGGCGGGGCCGCGAAGTAGGGCGGCGGGGCCGCAGGAGCAGGGCGGCGGGGCCGCTGAGTAAGGCGGCGGGGCCGCGACGTAGGGAGGCGGGGCCGCGACGTAGGGCGGCGGGGCCGCAGGAGTAGGGTTGCGAGGCCGCGAAGTAGGGCGGGGGGGCCGCAGGAGCAGGGCGGCGGGGCCGCTGAGTAGGGCGGCGGGGCCGCAAAGTAGGGCGGCGGGGCCGCAGGAGTAGGGCGGCGGGGCCGCTGAGTAGGGCGGCGGGGCCGCGACGTAGGGCGGCGGGGCTGCAGGAGTAGGGCGGCGGGGCCGCGAAGTAGGGCGGCGGGGCCGCGAAGTAGGGCGGCGGGGCCACGCTAACGGGTGGCGGGGCTGCACGAACGAGCGGCGGGGCCGCTAAGGGAGGGAGGGCCGCTAGGGCGTAGGGGCCGCTAGGGCGGCTCGACGAGGTGAGAGCCCGGGGCGCGAGTCGGGAGGAGCGCGCTTCGGGCAGGAAAAAAAGATTCTTGATGTGGTGGGCCCTAGGCACAGTTCCCACGGGGGAACCTGCTCGATACCATGAGGAAAGTAGAATGAGAATGAATGATCTATGAATGTAAGTGATACAAATATGCAACCCTAGAAATGTGTACCCCATATGGGCTACCCCACTATAGCCTACACAATATTATAACTTGACAAACCTCTCCCAACCCAAGCTCATAGCCATATGCTCCAATTCTAGAGAAGTTTGTGCCACATAGTTTTACTTCTAGATCATCAAGGATAGTTGATCTCAAGATCCTACCATGTACCTCCTTTTGGTTAATGTACTTTAATATTCAAGCAAGATTGGTGTATTCTTCTACCCAAGGTCCAAGCTCCAACCTCAACATCCAAGCTTGGAGGTTTCTCTTCATTCAACAAACATTATCTACAAGTCAACATTCAAGATCAACTTCTCAACATCCAAGCTTTGAGGTTCTTCATTAACAACTAAGACAACATTTAAGCTTGAAGTGCAGATCAACTTCTACAACATAATAGTAAGAACTCTTTTCAAGTAAGTGGTTATCTCTTCCTCTCATTTTTCACCAAGTTTCTTTTACATCAAAGTTCATTTGCTAGTATCAAGTTGTTTTGTATTCAAGCTATTTCCATAATAATCAAGTTACTATTTTCAAGTTCGTTACAAGCTCCCTTCAAGTATCTTTCAAGCCCTTTACCTTTTCTTCAATACTTTCTTTTAAGCCAATCTTGTTTGGTCCCTTTTATCCGTATCAAGTCTATCTTCTCCTTCAAAGCTTTCTTCATTCTTAATTATTCCATACTTCAAGATTTCCTTTCAACTTGTTTTTGCTTTTCAACTTGGTTTTACTTTGATCTTACCTTTTCTTTCTAGGTGTTTTTCTCCTTACCATTTACCCTCCCTCGTCTATAACTGCAATTTCAAAATAGAATCAGAGCCCGAGTTCATTCCTTTTTGCTGTTTCTCCCGTGCGCATCTTGTCTAGGTTATTTTTTTTTAAGCCCGTTATTTGCCATTAGTGGCATCCTTGCACTTGGTCTTGCACCCCCTTTTGGGTCCTCCTTTTTGTGTTTCCCTTTTTTTTGTTTTTTGTGTTTGTGTATGTCTGTGTGTGTGTGTGTGTATGTGTGTGTGTGTGTATGTGTGTGTGTGTATGTTTGTCTATTTCCCCTTCCCCTTGTGTGAAATTGTTTGATTTTATCAGGAGTTTTAATTTACCAATATGGATGAAAAGGACTCAAATGTTCCTATGGGATCAACTTCACCAACTGTAACCACAAACTCTTCAAACGAATCAGCACCTCCTACAACCAACACATCATCTCCATCTACACCACCTACTACATCTACATTTACCTCCTCCTTAGTCCCCAAATTGGAGCTTCCACGCTTCAAAGGCAAAGGTTTTTCATCATGGATCATCCGATTTCAACAAGCCGCCACTCTTCTTGATCTTTGGCCTATCTACATCGGCCAAAACACTCCCCCTTCAACTGCTGCATCTGATCAAGAACAGAGCAACTGGATCAAGAAAAATGCTGAAGCTTATCTCTATCTCCTCTCTTCCATTCAAGACCCCTACTCTCAACCCCTCCTCCTCGTATCAACTCAAAAGGACAGTGCCAGAGCGGCTTGGGAGCGGCTCAAACGTCTTCATCAACCTATTTCCCAAGGTTCTTAGGCAGAAGTGTGGAACAAGATTGTCTCTCTCCGCATGGGGGAGAGTGAGTCCATCCCCGACTACTTACAACGTGGTAAAATGGTCCTTTACGAAGCTACACTTCTCGACATTGAGGTCCCGGAATCTCTCTTCAGCACCATTCTTCTAGCCGGACTTTCATCTGGATGGAGCACTATGAGAAGCACCATTCAAGCCTTTCCTGAGGAGACAAGGACCCGAGATTTCATCTTCAACACGCTCATCACCGAACATCAGACAAGAGAACTTGCAAAGCTTCAGAGAAATCCTGGACCAGCATGGAGTGGAATGACAAGTTCCAACTATCTCCCTCAACAAAGTGTTCAACAACAGAGCAAGTTTCAACAAGGTAAGTCCTCTCAAACCCCAACACACTCTCTCCTTGGACAACCCACACCAAGTCATACTTCTTAGCTTGCATCATATTCTAATGATATTCCTTATCAGCCAAAGTCAAGGTATCAATTTGAGTGTCATTATTGTCATAAATGGGGACATCCTTGGTTCAAGTGCAACATACGTCCTGCGAACTGGACACCACCTTCATCTCTGCTTTCTGACAAAGGAAGGGCCGAACCAGAAAATCAACCAGACAGTGCGCATCATGGGCCATTTTTTCAAAATGCTTCCCAAGTCTCATCTCAAAACCATGTCGCTGCTTCCTCCATGCCACAACCTCACACACCAGAGGCGCCTCTTCAAGCCACCATAGGAGTCGTTTCATATGAGAGAGACTCTACTCAATTGAATGCACTGAGTTTTGCATTTGCATCATCCTCATGTCTCCATGTATTTACACTGGATCCCAAGATTTGGTTTTTGGACAGTGGATGTGATCAACATATGACCCCTCATGCCTCCCTCCTTCACAGCCTCAAGCCCTCCAATGTGAAAGAAGTGGTTGCTGCCAGCAACCATTCGGTGCCAGTTCAAGCAGAGGGAACAATGACATTTCTCAATCCAGAGGGAATTCATATGTCATTCTCAGGCATTTTACTTGTCCCCTCACTAGGGGCGAACCTTCTCTCAATTGGTCAAATGGATGAGAAAGGTATTTCCATCTCTTTCTCAGATGGTTCTGTGCAGGTTTGTGCTCCAACTGGACATCACATTGCAAGAGGTGTTCGTAATGGACGTCTCTATCGAGTGGAGATTGATGCACAGCCACTTGCCAAGCCCTACAGCAGTCCCTCAGTTGCTGCTACCACCACCTCAGTAAGACTTCATCCTGGTATATCTGCATCTCCTTACACCTGGCATTGTCGTTACGGTCACCCTGAAGAGTCTAGCATCACACGCATGCAAGCACATGCAAATGTTGATGGTCTTATCATCTCCAAGCAGTTGTCATCATCTCAATCATCGTGCCATACTTGTGTTGAGGCTAAGCTTCCTCGTCATTCTTTCTATTCTTCTGAGTCTGAAGTCTCTCAACCGCTTGAGCTCATTCATAGTGACCTGATGGGTCCTTCCCGTACACCAAGTCGTACTGGGAAAAGATATGTAATGTCACTCATTGACCATCATACAAAATTTGCTTGGATCTCTCTCCTTGGATCTAAAGATGAAGCTCCCGGTGTTATCCAGTCCTGGTTTCCTTATATTGAGCGTCAGTTGGGTCTCAAGGTAAAAAAAATTTCGTTCTGATCGTGGAGGAGAGTACATATCTAACTCTTTCCGCTCTTTTCTTGCCAACCTTGGAGTTGAACAGCAATTGTCATGCACAGCAACACCTCAACAAAATGGTACTGCTGAAAGGTACAACCGTACGATTTAAGAGATTTCAAGAGGTTTTCTCTCCCACATGAATCTGGATGACTCATGGTGGGGAGAAGCTATTACACATGCTTCTTGCGTCAAGAATCGTCGACTGACAAGCTCCATTGCTGAGGGTATTACACCCTATGAGGCATTATATGGCATAAAGCCAAATGTGTCCATGTTGCGAGTATTTGGCTGCATGGGCCAGTACAAAGTGCTAGATGACAAACGCATCAAGTTTGAAAGTAAGGCAGCATGGGGCATGCATCTGGGCATGGTTAAGGAGAGTAAGGGCTGGTTAGTGTGGGATCCTCTCCTAAAAAGGGACATTGTGTCAAGGGACGTGATCTTCTATGAAGACATGTCCCCTTCTTCTTGGAAACTTTCTTTTCCTCTTGTTTCCTCTCAAGTTCCTCCCTTCTCTACCTTTGCAGATTTCGAACCTCCAACAATCATTCTAAGGGGATTTTTTGCATCATCACCGCAGCAGCAACA